ATTCAGAATGACAACTGAAGAACACAATAACTAAAATATTTTCATTTTCACTCAAATGTTATTTCCCATTGAAACTTGGCAGAATTCAATGGGATTTGCTCCTAAAAGTAAGTGTTCGAAATGAAATTGTTTCACATCACATCAGATTCTTTCAAAAGTTTCTTTCATCGGCCCTTCCACACGTCCTAGCCAATACGAACATTGTAAAACTTCTTCAAAATCGCCCACAAAAAGGTTTCAATTAATAAGTGTACAGGCCTTGAAGATGTACAGTTTGTTGTGTATCAAGCGATATGAATAATTTATCGAGCAATCGTTTTTACCAAGAAGCAAGTGTGCATCATAAATGAGCTAACTACTACGTCAGTTGTGTGTGTGTACGATCACTTACTCAAAATTCTATCGTATAGATTTTCAGCTTAAAATGATCTGATGTGCTGACGAGAAGACGAGCGTTGTAAAAGTGAAACATTCTTTGAAGTTTTTGAAGCAAAGTATTGTCTCTCTCGTTCGCGTTGAAGCAAAAAAGTACAATTGTGAAATTGATTCGTTTGATTTATGTCGTCGGTTCGAGACAGATCCCATTCCGCCTTTAAAGTGCTCTGCCGTTTTAAGTGCTTGTTGCTCTTAAAACTGATGGTGTTCCCGATGAATCGCTTCGGATTTTGAGGAAATCCTTAGAGAAAATGAATCCACAACGCAGTGGAATGTCTTGTAAGAGTAACTTGAACCATTGCAGTTTACTTCAATCTCGGGAAGCACCAGAAAATCACATTTCTAATGTTTATTGTGAAATAAGAAAGGGTTGCAGAGGATGTTATCTCTAGCAAATTTGCTGAATGTTATTGTTATTCTGTGCTTTTGCATAGATTCAATCCTTTTGTTCCTTATGATTGATACTAATCCATCTCTTAAATTCGAATTATCTGTCTTTCTTAGCATTCGATAGAACACCATTGACCAAATCAGAATCTATTTCTGAGCTCAAGTATCACGGTTATATAATTCTTCAATTGCTATTGAATCGGATAACTGCGCAGTTCAATTCGCGTGCGACAATCGCGCTGTAGGTGCGAACTCTATTGGTGCGATACTTTTGGCGATGTTTCCAGTACGTAAACACTCGCCAGTGCACATGATTTCCGCTATATATCCATGCATCTGCATTTATCTCTGGAATTTTAAATCCGGATTTATCACAGTTTCTGGGGTATTATCACCTCAGCTGGTAGCTGGTACCCTTCACGTTGCTCTCGACTTCCAGTTTCAGGAATTTCACCCAGAAATGATCGAATTTATAAGTGCATTATAATAATTGCATCCAAGTGAATAATGCATGCATGCATGCTGTTTTTACACTCGAACACGATTCAGTCGTTAAAATCATTTTATGCATTCAAGCGTGAATCTCGTTCCAGTGGCTGACTGGTAGTGTTCGATCTAAAAGTAAAGAAATAAATTGTAAATTGTACTAAAAATTAGTAAATTTAACATTATTGCTTACAATCCGATAGATTATTGGTTTATTGTTTTGAACTGAGCATCAGTTCATAGCAAAAACAGTAAAATGATTAGGTGTTTGAGTTTCTGCACGAATTTCATGTGTCGTCAAAAATTGATATGCTTCGAAATATTTGTGTTATGTTGTGTTCACTGGAAAGCGGAAAATTGTTTGTGTTTCAGCGTGAAAACGGGCGTTTAACGCCAAGAAACGTCTTCGTGGCGGCGATTAGAATGGCAAAATTTTCACTTGATTTGTTATTTTTTCGTCGACTTTACGCGCTCTGTAAAATTCTATTCGCCTTCAATCGACGGCATTCCGTACCGACTTCTCTACTCTTAGCCGTATTCGTTATTCTCGTTTCAGTCGCTGGTTTGTTTCGTTTCTTTTGTTTTTTATTTTTAAATTTTTTATATACCCCATATCTCAACTTGTCTGTTCCACGTGCTTTCAAGTTGTTTTAAAGTTTTTGGAGTATTAACCTTAGCAAGCGAAATCTTACCAATACACTGGTTATCGATGGTGAGACTTCAGAATATAATTCGAACTGCTTTTTTTAAGTTTTCGTTTATTCTCGAATGTAATTGCATAGCTGGAAATTTTGCAGATCAAGTTGCAACGTATTTCGTCGGAATACTACCAAGCGAATTCTATGTGGTGTTGGGGAATCGTGATGTGACGTCGTTTCGAGTGCTTGCTGCTAAGGCCACACTGATCATCTTGGTGAAGGCTTTGGTGAGGTTTTTGCTATTGATTTTTTTTCACAAACTTTTGTGCGACAATCTTGGATAATTGTGGTGGTTTTGTTCATTGATGTGATATTCGTTTCAGTCGTTATCAGCTATCAAGTATTCCACTTCACAGTTGTTTTTGAAATTCCGAGGAATCACCGACTATACGTTGCATCGACTGTATTTCAAGAGGAATGGATACTATCGGTTGAATGTCTTGGGCGAAAACTTCGACAATCCGTTAGTTTTTATTGATTTCGGCGAGGAGTTCTTTAAAATTTATTCGGTCATTATTCTTAGTTTGGTTGGGATGATGGGAATGATAATTTATTTATGACTGTCACATTCAGTGATCAACGAATGACTCAAGATGTAGAGAAGATGACACGTCTGCTGGCACAAGAACTGCTGGCACCGGTTGTAATGGCACCGTTCATTATTGCGTATTACACGTACCTCACATACGAAAGGTTGGTGTCATTTGTACGAGACGAATCGTTTTGATAAAATTGATTGATATGTATTACTTTTTATAATTGTCACAAAGCAGTACTGGATGTTTAAGTTCTGGATGGTTAGGCCCACTGGCTATATATGGCTATTTTGTGATAGCAACGGTGGTCAACAAGCTTCTTTTGTCACCGATAGTGGCGTTGGTGAATGAGCAAGAGAGGAAAGAGGGTGAATTCAGGTTCGTTACTTTATTCGTGACTTTTTCCATCTATTATTAACAAGTATACTGATTATTTTGCTGGCTGAATGAAGTTGAGAATTATTTTTGTGCACGAACAGCTTGTAATGATTGAATCATTTTTCAAGATTACGACATGTGGAGGTACGTGCCAACACGGAGTCAATAGCATTCTATCAGTCGGGCTTAATCGAGAACGTGATGGCGAATAAAAAATTGAATGCACTCATTCGGGTGCAGAAGAAACTAGTGGAATGGCGATTCGCTCTTTGCTGTGAGTTGGTTGATTTCATTGATTTTGATAAAGTGAAATGGTCATTCAACTGT